CATATGACTGTTGTCATAGGTGGATAAGAATTCTGAAGAAATTAATGCAAAGGCAGCCTAATTAATAAAACTTAAGTGTATTTCTTTCTGTATCTTTTTGTTTATATAGATATATATATTTTTGAGTATACGCATGAACATAGCACACTGCAAGATCCTAATGGCATTTAAATTTAGTGGAGTAACTTGAATCCCAGTAATATTTTTGGATGTTATCTTTTCCAAAAGGTTGTGAGGAGAATTTTTTTTTTTTTTAACACTGATAAATCTTGGAATTAAGTTAGATATTGAGTTCTTAAAACTTTGGTTATTTTCATTCTCATTACAACTTTATTTTCTTTTAGGGAATTGCTTTCCTAAAGGAAGTGATTATAAGTGCATATTCTTACAGTGCTGTATATTCCCTTAAGTTCCAAGCTTTCTTTCCTATTCCGTGTTTTAATTTGTATCCTGTTTGACAGTACATAAGAGATTTGTCATCTAGAAATCTTATCTTCCTCCAGAGTCGATACAATGCCTTGGCTAACTAATTCCGTGGAAGCTATTATTTTAGTGTGTGTGTGTGTGTGTGTGTGTGTGTGTGTGTGTGTGTGTGTGTGTGTGTGTATGTGTATATCTATATATATGTCAAAACTGACTCAACTGGCACCTAACAACAATATGATATGCATATGCATGTGTGTGTTTACATATGCATCACTATATCTGAGAGACACTTAAACACAGGCATTAGAAATGTGTGTGTGTGTGTGTGTGTGTGTGTGTGTGTGTGTGTGTGTGTGTATGTGTATATCTATATACGCATTGTGCGGCTGTATATATGCTTTTTAAGGCAAAATTTCTCAACTTTTTGAAATTGAAAAATTAAATTGGATGTTCTGGAAATATCTGGTTTGTTTTCTTACTACTTTTAAATCTCTGGAAAAGAACACTAGAAACTCTTTTAAATAGATGCTAAAATTTGTATCATCTCTGGATAATGCCTCTGAAATTTCTGCTGACTATACTCAAAAATTAATCCTAGAAGCTGATGACACCCATAAAAGATCCATGAAAGTGATACTTTGGATAAAATGTTTATTTCCTTTAGGATTAGAAAGTTGAACATTTCAGTGTCTACTTAGTATTTCAGCCACTTGACAAACTTTTGTTTCTTGATCAGTAGACTTCATTTATTTGTTAAACATTTACTGAATATCTACTCACTGTACCAAGCCCTCTTCTAGGGCCTAGAGGTACAAAGACTCACTGTGTCTGTTAAGGATGTTCTTTCACTTCCTTCTTAATGCCACCTGGGACCGTTTTGGAAACTAAGAGGGTTTTGTGATAAATTATTTTTCTATATGAAAGTGCCTTAGAGCCAGTAAGAGTGAATGATAAAAGATAAATAAGAAAACGATGTTGTATCATGCTTCCAACTTAGGTAGACCATCATGTTTTATGAGTAATAGTAAATGCATTGACTAGGAAGTTCAACTTTAGATCAGTCATAGATACAAGTGAAAAAAATCGTGAAGTCTTTGTAGAAATGTGTTAACCTTCTGTTTCACTGCTTAAAAATGATTAGGTGTAGTGTAGCCTTCCCTTTTTTTGATATTAGAAATGCTTAAAATTTACAAGCAGTATGTGCTTATTTAATAGTATTGACAAATATTGCGAATAGTCTGATTATCAAATCAGGCATATCAAGAATTTCTCATAGTGTGTTTATATAGGTATTTATAGATAGAATACTTAGATTTTATTTCTGATTTGAATATAACTGAATTTTCAGTTAGAATCTTTAAAAATGTATGTATTTATGGAAAATGTTAAAATGATTTTATTGATCTACTGGTAGATTAGTAGACCTTATAATACCCGCTAGAGCTCCTTTGTGACATCTCAGCGTTGCTGATTTTGTTAGCTTTGATTTCGAATTTCTTCTCAGTGGTTGAAATTCAAGTATTGTAGTACCTGTTTTCCCCCCTTTTGAAGCATCACATAGAAGAATGCTGTCTATTAAAGTAAAATTAGATAAGGTCCTACTGTATCATTCTTGTGAGCCTCCATCAGTAGAGGTCTGACAGAGGCTGCTGTTCTTGTTTAATAATGACCTCATTTCGAAAACACGTTTACATTTTTCTGTATAAATGCTACATTATCAAATCTGTAGAGTTTTCATAAATTATTAACTCCTGAAGCAATAGAGACACCAGCTCTCCTCAGTGATTTAAAAATAATTTGTGTTATGGGAAAACTGTTTATTCATTTTTGAGCATAGTGTGTTAGATCCAGAAGTTTTGGTACTTAAGGCAAAATAAAGAAGTTATATTCTGAAAGTGATTTGACTGGGGAGAAGTTTGAAAATGAACCACTTCTCCAGCCAGCTGTTGTATTTAACTTGCCCTGTAGCCCAACTTAAGAACAGTTTTTTAAACCTGAGTTTGTTCTATTTTTAACCTGTATATTCTGTGGGGCATGGTAAATAATTCAAAGGATTGGAGCTCTTTCACGTCAAATTCCTCCTGAGGGAGTAATTGTAAACTAAACCCAATATTAATTTGAGTAAGCTATGGGTTCTTAGGACTTGTTTTTCATTTTTAAAATAAAGTGAGCCTGTAAACTTTAAAAAAAAAAAAAATTATCAGATAATGTTTCCTGTTTTAAAAAAAAGGACCTTTCCCTTTTTGCCTGCATTTTTACTCAGCTATATTGTTAATACTATAGGGTCACTGTGAGTCGGAACCGACTCAACGGAACCTAACAACAACAACAACAACAACAACGTGTTGTTACTACTAATTAGTATTCAAAAAATAAAGGAATACTGGAAAATTTGGAAAAATCATATCTTGTTTATATATTTAACATAATACGTTTATCTCATAAAAGTCAAGTTTAATTAGATTTCATTAATTTGGAAATTTTAGATAATTCTGTGGTTTATATTGAAATATTACTAAAAGAGAGAATGATTTGTCAAGTTGAGTAGAAAGGAGTAGAGGATGATTGTTTCAAGAAGTATTTTATAAGGGATTTCTGTAGCACCTATCTACAGAGTATAGGTGCAATGAAATCCTAAATAAGATAGCTCTGATATACTTACTTTAAGCCTTTTTCATCGAGTCATCTCTTTTGAACCCCAGCAGTGGAATACTGTGTTAATCTGTTTGAGTTTTTTGGATTCTTGAAAGTACCTAATTAGGTTGCATTCCTTAAAATACTCTGTATTCAGATCTTTTTCCTAATTTGTGCCCCTTTTCTCTTAACATCCCTCATATACCCCCTAAGTGCGATTATGTTGTAAAATACTTTTTTAACCTAAGTATACTCTTTTCAAAACAAAAAGACTTTCAAGCTTAAAATCTATTAGAAACTTAACATGAGTAGCTGCAACTTAGGCTCAGAAAGTACTTTTTGTAGTTATTTATTTGATACCTCTTGCTAGATGGCAATTTTCCTCTCTTGACTTATTCTATCAGATTTCTTCCTTTTTTTAATTTTTGGAAATTGCAGATTTGATGGCTAGATTCATAGATTTTTCTTTCCTTAGGCCAAACTGTTTTCATTCTCATTTGTACAGAATTGAGTATATTCCTAAGCAGAAGGATTAGCTTATTCTTTCCATCTTTAGGCTTTTAAAAAACTGAGCTAAATATGTTAGGTAATAGAATAACCATTCCTTTTCAGCTTTGAGTATATTTCCACACTGGCCAGCAGAGCCAGGAGGAAGTGAAGGCATTAAAATACACATTCACTTTGGTTGGTTGCTACCTTCTTAGTGCTGAGACTATAACCTTTGTTGGTTGGTTGATAGAGAACAAGAGAACACAATCTTCGGTCCACTAACAGGTAAGGAACCCTTGTGATAATTAGTTGGTGTGAGAGGGAGATTACATGATGGCATTTGAAAAATTTTTTTATCCCAAAATATAACGTGTCCCTGAAATAGGATAGTATGATTATATATTTCATAGAGTAGGGATATACAGCACCATTATATTTAGAATAAGATCTAAAATTTAATAGGGATATAGCACCCTGTGCTACAAAGTATAATTGATCTATTTTTCAAAGGCAACACTGTTAAAATGTATCCTGCAGTCCCTATAACTTTAAATACATATCCGCCTGTCTTATTCTCCTTTCAGCTTTTCCTTGATCAGATGCTATGTGCTTTGAACTTTCTTCTCTTATTTAGCTTATTCTATAATAAAGCAAACTGTTTTCCAGTATCTTTACCATCATCTATTGTTTGGGTGTATCTTGCTGCTTTAATTTCTACGTTGTAGCCATTAATGATTATTTCCTGGTCCTTCTTGGCCCCAAATCAAATAATCATGCATTTTAAAAAGATTTTGAATCTATATTACCTATGTCCACTATTCTGCCCTCCCTGTTTTAAAGATGAGTGCTTGAGAAATAAACCTTTTTTTCACTGAAAGTAGTCATAGCTTTGATATAAATCAGCTTTAGCTTTGTATTGCTATAACATGGGACTGTAGGCTGATTAATTCTTTAAATTACTGAAGACTTGAGAACTGAAAACAAATTCAGCATCTTAGACATTCCCAGCGTTTAGTAGTATTCCTGTTAATATCCTTGATTATTCTGTTTCTACTTTTCAATCCATCTTCTTCTCTTTGACAGAAGAATTAACTGGGGCTCCTCCTTTGATATATCTGAGGTTGAGTGCCTTTTCCCTGTCCATTTAAGACAACTATGGTCTTGTTTCCAGTCGTAATTTATCATTTTTCGATTCCATCTTCCATTTGAAGTTGAATGGTTTGTCACAGAGTGTGTTATGGCTTAGACCCAAGACAGGTCCCTTCTTAAGAGTTAGTTACTGAGGAATTAATCACTTGTGGTGACAGACTTCTAAAATTCAAATTAAGAAGGCACTAAAGAAGGTACGCCCAAAGGTAGCTCCTTTTTATCCCGAGGATAAGCCATTACAAACTCAAATGACCAGAGAATGTAATTTCTTAATAAGAATTTTTTTTAAAATCTATATTCAGCTCTCTATTTCAGTGCTTCTCTCCTACCAGAGGTGCAAGGAGTGATCCTAGAACCACAGATACAGCCAAGACCACGGAGAGCTTTTGACGTCAGGGGTCCACTTTCTCCACTGAACCCTTGGAGGCAGAATATCCAGCTTCTGGAGAGAGTGGGAAAGGATAATAAACAAGTGGGTGCTTTCCATTATTTGCTTGGGTTTATTTATAGATTGGAGTGTCCTTCCATTGCCCATTTAATTCTAATGGTAAACTCCTTGGGTTCATAGAAGAACCAAGTGGGGCTGCAATCTGTTTGTTTTTCTTCTATGAATGCTACCTAGTGCCCTTTCAAAAAAGAGACCTAAAATTTAATTTTCTCTCCAGATAATTAAAGCAGTGGATGATTTGGGGCACATGATTTGGTGAATGCCCATGTAGTCCACAGGAATTTATAAGGGGAATATTTGCCCGTTTTAGCCTTTAATGGCATTAGTGGACTTCTAAGTGTTCTTTTACATTCCTAATTAAAAGCTCTTTGGGCTAGCTGGACATCTGAACTCTCCTAATTGACACAGTTAGATGTTCAGGTGTTATCGTACCTTGTTAGTGAGGACTTTTAGATCTTTTTCCTATCTCAGACTTTAGGACTTTACATTAATTAGACTTTTTACAAGATACAGTGATAGTACCGTTATGGTTTTACTGTCAAATCTAGGTTTCATTCTTTAATAAACTAAATGTGAATTAATTTAAGTTTCAGGATATATTATCCCTTAAAGTTTAATATACTCAAAAGTAGTTTTCCAGTCCCTAGTAATATGTTATTTGTGGCGAAAAGAGCCTTGTCCTAGATTTTTCCCATGGCATTAAAATGGGTTTCTCTTAGTTTCTTTGATGCCAAGGGTTGATATGATTCCAGGAAGTTCTTATCATCTACAGTGGGTAGAACATGAACTTGGTGCCTTTGGCAAGTTTTCATTTTTCCTTGGTGGATTCCTTCTGTGACTCCAGGTATCTTGAAAATGGGAGACCGGTTTATTTGTTCTCTAATTGCCCAGATTTCTTTCAACTGGTAAACATCATACTTCTTCAGCAAAAGGAATTCTTCTAGCAGAGCCTTCATGGATGATATCTGTCACACATGCCAGCACCTGCAGTTTGGAAGGCAGTGGTGAATGGATCCATGCAATATGTCTAGAAGACACAAGGATGAGAGAGCCACCTGATCTTGTCATTTATAAACTTTAAGATTTACTGTGGTTTACTCTTGGTTGGAAGTGGAGAGGCTCAAATAATGAAATAGTCTTTTCAGATTGGAATTTTAAACACGGCCATGCAAATATTACTTTTTTATTAAGAAGACTGAAATAGAGGAAGCGTGAGAGACTCCTTTAAAAGGCAGCTCTCTATCTGTTTCACTAAAAAGATTGTGGGATTGAATCTTTTCACCTAAATGAAACAGGCAAACTTTATTTTTAGTAGTATAGAAAATCCAAAAAAAACCCCAAAAAACCTGGTGATTGTTGCCTGACACCAGAAGGAACTAGTAAATTAAGGGTGAACTTTTTAACTCTTCCCAAATTAATTTTAATATTAGGAAATTCTCTCTTAGCTCATCTTTTTTCTGTTCTTGAGCCTTATTATAGTTGTCAGATCGACAAAGATCCTAGCATAGAAGCAGAAGAGAGATCTTTTGAGATCAAAGTAGCTTGGTCTGTCTTCTAAAAGTAGTAAATACCTGCTACACTTGAGGTATTCTTCTACACTGAAGGCATACTAACATTTGAATGATGCTGTCAAAAAGCATTATTTCATAGAGCAAAGGCATTAACTAGTATTAGAATAAGACTGTAGGTATGAATAAGTCTTGGTAAATAGTTATCCAAAATATCAATTACATCAAAATAAAAATATAGCTTCTTAAAAAATAGCATATCTATCAAAATGTTACTCTTTCTCTATGAACTGGTCAGTCAAGAACTTTTTAAGGAAAAAAATTTTAGGTCATTTGTTGTTGTTTTAGTTGGGTATAAATTTTAAGAACAGAAATTCTAGAGTTATTAATATGGAAGGTTTAATAATTTGATTATTGAGCATCTAAAATGTTTCAGGAATCCTAAAAGTTTTTAGAATCCACTTTTGCTAAAATATAAGCTGACCTTTATTTTTTCTTGGCTGTATCTGAGAAAATTTTTTTCTCATTAATTATAAATAAATTTTTATAAGTATAGTACTTAAAAATAAGTTTAAAAGATCAGTTTGAACTGAAATATCCCTAGAGAGCTTTGAATTCCTTTTAAAAGTTTTTATTTTTGATTTTTTTTTTTGTTAAGTGTTAATAAAACAGTTCATTTACAAATACATATCAATAAAAAGACATCTGCCCAACATTTTAGAAAGTACTCAGTGAACTGAGTGAAATTTGTTTGGAAATTAAGTTGGTTGAACACTTTGAACCATAGTACAAACCAGTTTATGGCCTGTGTGATTATTACCTTGTTTCAGCTTTGAAGATGAAAACTGATTTAATCTCTTAATCTCATGCTTTGATTAAGTTTTAGCTGTGTTCCTTAAAGTGTGCAAAAGAAATTTAAGTGCCTTTCAGTTCATCTCATGCCACTTTTAAAAGCCATTTAAAGGTTAAACTTTTTGTATATTGATGTGAAGTGATTTGTTTATTTAGATTCTATTTTGATGCATTTTTCTTTCAGTTTTTTTTTATATTTCATGTCAAAATATGCAGTCCTATATTTTCCAGTGTTTATTTTATGAATATTAATATAAGCTATTTTTTTCTAGAATGACTAATTGTGTAATATTTGTATATGTGATCATTTGAAAACTAATAAATATTTTCTCCATGAAAAAATGTACTTACTGATAAATGGTGTATTTCTGTTTTAGGAGTAGAAAATGAAAACTACAACAATATTTTTAAGTGTATATTAATTCTATGTGTCTTCCCTCTAAGTATTTCTGATTTCTTGAGAAAATTTATTATTTTTTAAACTGTTAAATTAAAATGATTCATCATGGGGTCACCGAATGCCAAATGTATGAAATAGGCAGTGATCTATTCAGTCTGATTTTGCATTTTTCTGATCGGCTTCAGCTTAGCTTTGTTTCCCTGATTTGGAATTCACTTGCTGTTTTTGTATGTCAGTTTTACAAACCATTAAAACTCTTGAGTTCATGTTGTAAATTTCAGGAGTAATTTGGTCAAATCTCTTAAAGCTAGATTGATCAAAATATAACCTCTTAAAAAATAGCATACAAAAGACGGTCACTCTACCCAGAAAAAGAACATTTGAAAACAATGGTCGCTTGGAGAACCACAGAATTCATAAGAGCTGTCAACAGGAGAATAAAAATGTTTTCTGTTTTAATGTTCTGCTTGAACAAGTAATTGTAGAAGGAGAAATCTTGACTCTAGAGTCTCTTGCTTTTAACCTTATCGAGACAACATGGAAAAGGGTAAAATTTGGTTTTAACTAAGACAAAGATTTTTGTCTTTATAGCTACATCAACTCAGTTTGAGCCACTGGGACAATTTACCTTTTCTATGCAGGGTCTGATAGAAGCAAGAGTGTTTCCTTTTGGATTTAAAGAAGAATTATACAAGAAAATGGACTCCATAAATTATAAATAAACATTAAGATGGGGTCCTGGGCAAGAAATAAGAGTTTAATTAATGACAATTTGCGGATTAACATGAAATAATTGTCTTCCCCAAGAAATGATACTCTGAAAAAATAAGAATAAAGGAAATTACTATGATTTAGAATAGCTACTGTATTTGGGGGAAGGAGGAGGAGACAAAATCTTGGCTTTATTAGCCTGATAAGTTTGAAAAAGGGCTTATAAAGATTCTGCAGACAAATTTCATTTTTAGAATTAAGGCTATTAAAAAGTTTACAGGCATAGTGTTTTCAATGAAGGCTATTATTTGAAAACAAAAATATTTGTAAGCCTTTCCTGTAAGTGTAAATAAGAGTGGAAGGCTAAAAAGAATCCTGCACTGGAATCTTCAAAAGTATTGCAAAGAGTTTTAAGTAATTTAAATGGTGAAATGAGTTTTAAGTAATGGTGACATGAGTTTTAAGTAATTTTTATTACACAGACTTTTCCCTACACTGTTGGTAGCTTCAAAATAAAAATATTACAGAATGTTGAACTTGGCTTACCTTTATATCTTCAAAGTATAAGAAATATGCTTATTATTTCATCATTGATTGATTATAGTATAAAAATCTGCGTTGATTGTTCCTTGGTGAAGAAACAATTTTTTTTTTTTGGTATTTTCTGTTAAAAAAAAAAGTAAATGTCACATAGCAGTGTGACTGCAAATTACTGACCTTGTTATAGCTTATTGTAATTATGTGCACACATTTTTTTTTTCTTTTCAGTATTGAAAATTTAAGCTAAATGTCACTGCTTAGATGTTCCAAGCAATTTTCTTGCTTTTTACTGAGGTATTTTAGTTTCCCACTAAAAAGATTTAATACTAATTTAGTCCCAAAATGTGGAAGATTCGTGTTTCAAAAATAAGCACATAAGTTCTCTGAATTTTGTTTTTTTCCACTAATATGTATGTCTAAGTTAATTAGATTACGGCAGTAAAAGTGTTAGGGAACTTTGAAGTATGCATCGGAGTTTTCAGGACTAATGATCAAAGGGATCTCTGCTCAAGAGGTAAGGTATGAATGGCATAGGTAGGAGTGTTAAAAATGTGTTCAGTGTAATTTTTTTAAATGTCTAATAAACTATAATAATGCTTGGATCTTTCAGACAGATATAAAATAAGGAAAATAATTTTTCATAGTAATCTCTCCCAGAGAAGAGAAATGATAAACTACAAATTTGTTTTGTATGACTTCAGAGTGCGTTTTGAAGCATATACACAGACATTGTACCCTTCGTGTACTTAGCCTCCTCTATTCCAAGAGATTTCTTACCTTGCTCTTGGTGTATGAACCCTATTTAATTTTGTATTTTAAAATCATGAGCACTATAAAAATAGTGTACTTTGCATAGAAAGTTGTGTATGTATTCCATGATATTATTGCCAGGCTTCATTTTGGCTATATATGCTTATTTTTATTAAATGATACCCAGAACACAAAGTAATTTTTTTTCTGTGTACTGTACTGAATAAGATGAGAAATTAATACAAAGACCTTTATAAACATTCACTTACATTATAACTTGGGAATCTGTTACGTTAAGGATTAAGAAATAATTTTGTTGGTTAGTATGTAAAATCGTTCAGAGAGGAAAGTTATACTGTTATTCTCTAGGGAATAAAACAAACCAAACTCACCACCATCGAGTCGATTCTGACTCAAAGTGACCCTATAGGACAGAGTAGAACTGCCCCATAGGGCTTCCGAGGCTGTAAATCTTTCTGGAAGCAGACTGCCACATCTTCCCGTGCAGCAGCTGGTGTTTCGAACTGCTGACATTTGGTTAGCAGCTGAGTGCTTTAACCGTTGTGCCACCAGAGCTCCTTATAGGGAATATTAAGTAGATTTAAAGAGTTATGTTAGCAAAATACTTAGTATCATTTCTAGAAACAAATGAAAATGCAGTATTGAATATAGATGAACTAGAAAATAGGATTTTTTCTAGAATTACTAGTATAATTTATTTACTCGATAGATGGTAGCATAGAATACCAACAATCATCCCTTCTGTGTTTTTAGTTCTTATAAAAGGAACTCCAGCTTGTGGACATTTTGCTTTTACTTCAGATAGTAAGCTACCTATCCTACTATTCCCCTTTATACAGAACAGATGGGAATGTTGATGTACGCTTTTGATAGAACTGTATCCCGAGGAAGCTGGATCTGTGTGCAGGATACTCTGTCCTGGTAAAATGTTGATCCAGAATTTGCTCCCACGTCCTTTTTTTATTTGAAAAATCCCTTAGAAATTACCTAGTTTAGCATCCTCATTTTACCTATAATTGATAACCAGCAGTATCACATACATTCCCTGTATCACACAATTGATAAAACAGTTGTCAGTAGGACCCAGCTGTCTTGACTACTGTCTTAGAGATCTGTACTACTTTACTGCTTCCTCATCTTGATCTTGGTTCTGGACTATGCAGACCAAGTCCAGTGTCTAGATATGACAAGCCTTCAAGTATTTGAAGGTGGTAGTTATACCACATCAATTCCAAGCCCAAGTACACCCCCACCCCCGCCGAGGTTAGACATTCCCATTTCTTAGCTCTTATTCATGTGGCATGGGTTGGAATCCTTAGAGGTTTTGTATATCTTCTCTGAACGTAATTCAGTCATCGTTGTTCACTTCGTGTGTAACACTGAAACAGCAGTAGGTCTCATTAGCCTGGGCTGTTTAATACTCACGCCATTGTATTGTGTGTGGCCCTGGAATAGTCATGCCACTTTATTTGACCTTACATATTTACCCAGTAAGGTACTTAATTTTACGTCTGTTAAGATTCAGTTAGGAAAAGAAATTACAAAGTGAAATCCAAAATATTTTGTTTCTGAAAATCGGTTTAGTAGTCTGTTTAGACAAAGCCTGTGTAAGTGGTGTGTTAATATGCACAGTTCAGTGAAAAAGAAAAAAAAAAAACAATAGCTAAAACCTTGGGAAATCATAGTTGTGAAAGTACATTCTGCATTTAAGTTATTTTTGGTTTGCTTGGAGCCCTGGTGGCACAGTGGTGAAGAATTCAGCTGCTAACCAAAAGGTTGGCAGTTCGAATCGACCAGCTGCTCCTTGGAGACCTATAGGGCAGTTCTTCTCTGTCCTACAGGGTCGCTATGAGTCGGAATCGACTCGACGGCAGTGGATTTTGGTTTTGCTTAATGCTGGCTTAAATAGCTATAAATTCTTTATTAAATGTTTTGTATCATGTAAAACATTATTTTTTCAGATTGTCATTGCTAAATTAAGGATAACCAGGCTCACTGGAGCTAAACTGTTGTCACATGACTGGCATTGAGAAGAAAGTGAAATTACGTTTAGTAACATAATTAAAATTAGAAATGGAAGGCAGTGCTTCAGTGGAAAAGTTTGAGAAATATCCCGAACAGCAGAAGATGGTCAAGAAGTAGCCCTGGAAGTCTGGAAATGTGGCCTAAGTTCTAGATCAAGCATAGTCCTGTGCTGCATCTTAAAAACAGTGCAAATATTCTGCTGCAGCAATGCTGTTTTGGTATAACAGTTTTTTAAACCACAGGTTAAATTGTTTAGCTTTTCTTCCTCATCTTAAATTGAGTTCCAGAGCAACATGTTTATTTAATGGTTGCATGTACCTCTTAAGGGTACAAATAACCCTTGTCTGAGAAATACTGGTTTGAGATATAGGTTCTATTCTACTTTACCTGAGTTAGAAAGAATTTTATGGAAAATAAGGAAGAAAGAGAACGAATATTTACATGCCTACTGTGTGCACCTTTGACCAGGTGCTCCACATACACTAATTTACCTAACAATTTTGTGAGGAAAGTGATCATTTTTCCCATTTTACCGATAAAGGTACTGAAGCTCAGAGGTTAAAAAACCTACGTTAAGGGCATATAACCAGTAAGCAACAAAGATGGCATTTGAAAGCAGATCTTTCAAAATCTAAAAATTTCTGTTGTGGCATTGATTTTGAAACATTGTTGTCAAAATGCATATTTCCAGTAAAAATTTCATGTAGAACTCAATGTTTAAAGTAGATAAAAGATATTTTACTTAGTATGCATTTTTTAAAGTTTGAATTTGCCTTCAATTAGCTTGGGCCCTAACACTTACAAGTAATGGTGTTCTACTAGGAGCCATCTAAACCATTATAGTTATTTAATTTGATTTAATTAATTCTTATTGAGTATCTACCTCTTAAATTTCATGTAGAGTGGGTGAGAGCAGTGAGAGTTGGCTAATTTTAAAAGAAATTGGAGACTAAATAGATTCTAGTTACGGCATCCAATTTCTATATTTTGTGTGTAACTTGCTTTTGAGAGCTTTGCATATTTTCTGTATGAATAGTAAGTACACATGATAAATTTTTATAAGTGTTTATTAAAATCAGCTGCTGTTGATTAAGTAAAGCAAATTCAGTTGAAATTTTCATTAGGCGAATGTGTTTATTTGCGTACCAACACATGACCTAAGATTAAAATATAAGATTAAATAGTTGGTATAAAAGGTTAAGTATATTTTCCATAATTTGATAGTGATTATTTTTTCTGATTAGAGTGATTATGAAAGAGTGTGCAGGGTTTTCTATTTTAACCTTGCAAGTAAGATAGCTGAAGTTTTTTTCTTAACAATACTACCAATAAATAAATACTGCCAAGTATATGTACTAACTGGCATACTGCTGCCTTATATAGGCTTAAGATATCAAAATTACCAGTGTGATCAAATCAAAGTTTTTTTTCCTAGTGATTATTGTGAATTTAACTTGAATTAAATGGCTGTCCAGTTACCAATTAAATCTATCATGCGATAAATATTGTTAAATTCTGAGGGAGGAAGAAGTGAGGTAAGTGAAATTTCCTATACCTACTGTATAAAAATAAGCATTTTATATACATAAATGTCCCCTACCTCTATCAAAATAAGCCTTTTACATGTAAAAGGCTTGTTTTCTTCATCTGGATATTTTAAAACATACCAAGATAATTTTTCAAAGCTACCCTTTTATAGTCCCATGGTATTCTAAGTGGGGCTTAAATGATTCGTTAGACTAGGGGAAGAAAATTAAAAATTATTTCCATTATCATATCCTTTAAAATTGTGTTAACAGTGTACATAATATTAGTGAACGTAATTTATAAATAAAACATGCGTTCTCAATTTTTTTTTTTTTAAATTTAGGGGCACATTAAAATAAGGTTTTGACTACTGGCCTAATCCATCCTCTGATTATTGAGGAAGATAAAATTCAGAGCGGTAGAAATGTGCTCAATTTTATGCCCGACTTCATAACATCACATTCGTTAGTCCTGAGCATAGAATATAAAGTTAGTTGCCAAGAGAAATTTGAATCTGTCTTCTGACTCTCACTCTGTTTTTTATGAATCATGTGTCTGTTACACGATATGTGTACTTTTTCCTACTGGAGGTAGAATTTTTTAAAAGCTGATTTGTACAGTTTTATAATCCTATTGATTACATATAGTCAGCTAAAAACCTCAAACCAATAAACTGTTTCAGTTGAGAGTTGAAACGGTTGTTTTGCAATGAAATTATACCAATCTGTTTATTGCCCTCTATATTCCTAGCATAGTTTGATGTATGTTCATGTCTTAGATATTCTTTCAAACAAAAAATATTCTTTAAAACTACTTTTTATTAAAAGTAGTTTCTGTTAGCTAATTTTAGACACTTCACGTTTATTAGCCATTTGAGAAATCCTCAGGGTCTCAAAATAACTGTATATACATCAAGTAGGGGCTTTGCAATGGCTGTTACTGTACCAACAAGGTTAAAATATAATGTGCTAGGTCATAGTGTAAAAGGACTTTATATTTTACTTTACAAAAGATTTTTTTAGTTTTTGCATTTAAATATTTCTATTCTTAAAACAATGAGAAGTTTGTGTACTTTCACTATCTTTATTTTTAAAGCTACCTTAAATCATTGGGAGTTACAAATGATAGTATTAAATGAAACAGTTGATATAATTCAAATTAGCAGTAATATCAGAATAACTGCAGAGATGCCATTACTTAAATTTGTATAATGCATTACAGTTTGTAAAACATTTTCACATAGTTTTTTTCAACTATACTGGGAATTTAGACAGTAATTTTTTTTTAGAAAAGATTATTGTTCTACATGCCCTTTGGGAGCATCACATTTGTTGGTCCTGAGCATAGAATATAAAAATAAGATAGAGTGAAGAATTGCTTACAATATGAAATGTATCCAAATTTGTTTTTATATTTTTTTTTATATATTTGTGTACTTTAAATGAAGAATACTTGTTCCCTAATCAGGTGCCCTAGCAACTTCAGTGTAGTTTGGATTCTAACACTTAGAAGAAATCATGGTCTATAAAGAGCCGTTTAAGCCATTATAGTTATTTAATTTGGTTTATTTAATCTTTATTGAGCATCCACCTACTAAATTTCATGCATCTCACCAATCATTGGAAATAAATTAAGATACTTCTACCCCCACACCTGTCACAGGCTTTCATTGTTCTCTAGAGTCTGGATCTGTGTCATATCTTCTTAAGGAGTTTGTGGCTTTAGTACTCCCTCTCTCCCCTCCATCAGCAAATCTCCTCTACTAGATCATTCCCATCAGCATGTAAATATGCTTTTATATTTTAAGAAAATGAAACCATCCTACCTTGACTTTTTATCCCCTCTAACTTAAATAGTTCTCTACTTCCTTTCATTACCGAGAGGTGTCTACTCACACCGTTACAT